TGATCGCCGATGTCTGTCGCAGATCTGTTTGTTTGTTTTAGTAGAGGTTTTACGGCACTCGCAACTGCATAAGGTCATATGAGCACCAGAAGATTAGAGGTGTTACAAGAGAGTAACAAAAATAAAAAAAGGAGGGGAGATAAGGACGATAGATCTTTGATAGGAAAGAAGAAGCAAACCACACCAGAGCACCCGCCAACCACCCGCGTGGCAGATCTGGCACTGGATGATGATGATGATGATGATGATATATATAATTCTCATTTTCATTATTTTGTGTGTGTGTGTGTGTGTGTGTGTGTGTGTGTGTGTGTGTGTGTGTGTGCGTGCGCATGTTGGGGGGGGGGGTGTATGTTTTTGTTTTCAGTCTGTTACATTAGTTTTTCCCGTTGATTTTCTTGATTCAAAAGCAGAATGTGGGTGGTTGGCAGGTGCTCCCGTGGTGTTGTATGCTCTCGATCCTTCTTTCGTGTCAAAATTGACATGTCTTCATTATGGGTCTCTCCTCGCCTTTCCTTTCTTTGTACCATATGTCACCCTCTAGTTGCACCTTCTAATCCAAATGTATATCTCTGTAGGTGTGTGGTTGATGGGTGCTCTGGTGTGGTTTGCTTCTTCTTTCCTATCAAACAATCTATCGTCCTTATCTCCCCTTCTTCTTTTTATGTTTGTCACTCTCTTGTAACACCTCTAATCTTCTGGCGTTCATATGACCTTATGCAGTTGCAAGCGCCCTAAAACCTCTACTTAAACTAACTATCTCTGTCGTCATTATAGGTCTCTCCTCTTTCTTTTCTGAGCATGCACCCTTTAGTTACCCCTTCTAATCCACATTTATAATATCTCTTATCCGGACACTACACACTGTCTCATACAGAACCAGGCTACCGAAAAGTGAAGTCGGTGATTTTGTCGTCCTCAGGTATTTATAGGCCTATAAGCGACGTATCTCACAAAGTAGAGCTATGTGTTGGTTTTATCTGTCTTTTACTCCGAATTGTTCTTGTGTCAAGGGCTTAATTCAGTGCGGGGCTGAATGTTGGCGGGTGCTTTGGTGTATGTGGTTTGCTCAATTTTTCCCGTTAAACATCTATCGGAAAGTATGTGTGTGTGTGTTTGGTTTTTTAAATTAATTTTTGTTGTTGTTGGGGGAGGGGACTTTTTTAAATCTGTCTCAAAATCGTGAAATATGCAGTTACGTCGTTTTTTCGGTGGACGTCAGTTATTCAGGGAGGACAGCTGCGGGAGACACTTTTACCTGGCGGGCGTAGGTGGGGGGAGGGAGGAGGGAGGAGGGAGGAGGGAGGAGATGGAGGGAGGAGAGGGTG